ATGGATACAAGGGAGAGATGATTTGGGACATTTTTGTCAAGAAGTTCCTATAAGTGGTATGTGAAATGGACTTCATGTGTGGTTGGATGAGTTTTAATAAAATATAAGGAGAAAAAATGCCAACTCCAGAGCACAGCAGTAACGTTGGAGAAATGCATATATATGAGAAGTTGCTTTAAGAATAGGTCCAAGTGGAGCGAAGGCTCTACATTCGATTTAGGTACAGTTCTGCACTGGCTGTCATAGCCAGAGAATGTGCTGGGAGCCCTGGGGAGTCAATCTCCCTTCTGCCTTTTAAGGGCTATTACATGAACATAGAATTCTGGCCAAACCTCTGTCTCTACAGTGAAGTTGAATAGTAAATACTTTGAGTTGATGAGTCGGAGTTGGGGGTGGGGGAAATCACTGGAAAGAAGTCAGCTTTAAGTGTCGGTGGAAAGGAAAAAGCTATGGGGAGGAGAATAAAAATGCAAAAGGGGACAAAGATGGCAGACAGTGCTTGCATTTTGGCCAGTGTTGTTAAGAGATGGAGAAGCCAAGGGCTTGAGCAACTCATCAACCCCCAGGAGACAAAGAGAACAGGGTCCAAGTGCTCCCAAATGGTTTTCTTTTGTAGTTAAACCAGAAGGAATTTATTGCTTCGAACAACTAAAGGAACACTTGTATCAACAAGAATTCTGCACACTTCAGCAAAGATGGGTCCTTGCCTGTAAGTCTGGGCAGAATTTTAGGGAGTTACCAAGACACCCCCTTGGTAACTGTCCAGTTGCAGACTAAAAAGAGCCCATAGGCTTATGCTTGGAGGGCACGTCAACCTGCAGGTCATTAGTCCCAACTCTGGCAGTCATAAAAGTTTCTTTTTGTGTCATAATCTGCTTTCTCCAGTCTCTAGGGCTAGGGGCTGTCAATCATGAAGTCCCTTGTTTACTTGTTCTTCTGCTTAAACCACTTAGTGAATTTTTTCATGCTGACCAAATTTGACTAGGATTCTAAATCCCAGACAGTATTGGCTCTTCTGGCTATTTTGTAGGCAGTGGCTGGGGCTGCTCACTATTTCTATTGTTGTGTGCGTGTGCATGGGTGTGTGCATGGGTGCGGCACTCCTGAAGAGGTCTGATGAGTTCCGGGAGTTGATTCTCTCCTACCATGGTGTCCCGGAACAAAACCCAGGCTTGTGCAGCAGTAGGCAGTCTTACTGCTGAGCCATCTCACCAGATCTGGACTGTCTCTAATGTGTCTATAAAGGTCCCGGAGACTGAAGCCTCTTAAAGACTCAAGTCTGTCTAAGCCACTCCTCCAGAGCCAGACTCCTCACAAACCTTTGTTCTTGGAAACCTCCAGAACTCCACCCTCTGGAGCCAGAATGGAGATGGCAAAGACAAGCCCTACCTTCCCGTAATATTCAGTGTCTCCTCCAAATATAAAAGGCAATGATGCAAACGTGGTCAGTCATCCCAATACAAAACCCAGCAGACGTTCTGGTAATGAAATTGGAATACTTATTATCCGTGCTGCTCAGGCTTCAATCTCTGAAATGAATTTAATACAATAGTGCATTGGATTTGAATTTATGCTATAGGGAAGACTCAGAGATGGGAACAGAAATATTAGCAAGTTACTGTGTTTGAGAATCCATGCTATGCTTTCTTTATTTGCCATGGCTAGTCCATTTCCCCGTTCCTTCATTTCTGGCTCTGTAAAGGTCTAGGAGTCCCTCTTCCACAGTTTCTTTGCCAAGGCCTTTACTCATAAGCATAGCAGCTTTTGAAGTTATTATAATCACCCCCAGTTAAGGTTGCAATGCTTCCTCCTGATTTTGTTCATGTGTTGAAGTCTATTCCTCCTGTGCCTCTGGAGGCAACTTGGAATTTGGAGACAGGACCTTGAAGGATGTAATAAAGGTAAAATGGGGCCATTGAGATGGCCCCCAAGTTAATGTCCTTGTCTTTTGCTTGAGAGCCTAGCCTTTAATGGCTGAGCCATCTCTCCAGCCCAGTTAATGTCCTTATAAGAAGAGGCGATTAGGACAGAAACACATATAGAAGGAAAACAGTGAGGACAGGAGAAGAGGCAGAAGGAGAAGCAACCATCTACAGACCTAGGAGAGAGGCCTCTGCCTGACGCCAACCCTCCCTGCTGACTTCTAGCCTCCAGAATTGTAAGGAAACAGTCTGGGGAGGCTGAGTGCATAGGTCAGTGGTGAGCTCTTACCTGGCATGTGTAAGTCCCTGGGTTCTATCCCTAGCACCGAAATAAATAGATAGATAGATAGATAGATAGATAGATAGATAGATAGATAGATAATAGATAAAAAGCAAGCAAACAAATAAATAAATAAGAAAAATGTTATCTAAGCTATCTGGCCGATGAGAGAGCCCTAGTGAAGTAATACCACCTCTAGTATGGGCTCCACACTTTCCTTTCCAGTCGTGTGTGTGTGTGTGTGTGTGTGTGTGTGTGTGTGTGTGTGTGTGTACCAGCACAAGTGTGAAAGTTGGATGTTGTTCCTCACCTTCCTTCTCGTTTGTGACAGAGTCTCTCATTATTTTACCCCTGTGTACAGCAGGAACAGGTTAACTGCCTTGCAAGCTTCTGAGGATTCTCTTGTCTCTGTCTCTCATCTTTCCAGAGAAGTACTGAGATTGCAGATGTGTGCCACCATGCCCAGGTTTATGTCATTGTGTGTGTGTGTGTGTGTGTGTGTGAGAGAGAGAGAGAGAGAGAGAGAGAGAGAGTGCTTTTACCCACTAAGCCATCTTGCTCCATTCTTGACCTTCTTAAGTTGGTACTTCTAAGAGTAGCATTATCTACCACATCTGACTTTGTCACCTTCAGAGCACACTCATCTCCCAGGGGAGCTTCCCACAGTGAGCTCACTGGAGTATCAGTTCTGTACAGCGTCTGCCAGGCTTGAGGGTTTGTGAACACTCCAAGTACCTAACCGAGGTATACTGTACATTGTGAATTAAGGGCCTCAAGACATCCTTCATCAAAAACCTAATTAACTTCATTTTATCCCAGTGTTTAATGAGCTTATTTAACTTTTCTTTTTTTTTTCTTCCGCTGCAACTCATGTCTATAGTGCAAAGGCAAAACACTGCCATGAACAATCAAGATGGTTTGGCATGCCAAGCAGAGCTCTGATGGCCAGATTTAATAAGCAAAAATGCAAGAAGCCCAGTTAAATCTGTTGTTCAAATGGGTCTAAAAGTTGGCATGTTCCCCTTTCTGAAATTGATATTCATCTGGCTATCCTAGAGGTGACACTAGTTCCACAGCATGCTTTGTGACCTGTAACCTAGTGAGCAGCCGGAATCGCGGTGAGCAGGAGAAGACTTTTCCCCCAGGTCACATACTAGTCAAAGATAGTCAAGGTTGATTGCTAGCATTTGTTGTCCTTCCTCAATGCAACTAATCTTCGTTCACGGTACAAAATCATGCGAGGAGCTTTGGAAAACTCCCATAATCTGTCCCCAACCAAGGAACTTAGAATAGAGATAACTGTACAGGGGGCTGGAAAAGCAGAACAGGAAAGAAAGAGAGACCAGGCAAGTGTATAAGCTACTCACAGACGCCAGGCCCACCCTGACACTTGACCCACTCTGAAACTTAGGGGCTCTCCTTGTGCCTCTACAACTGTCTCACTGATGCCCCAACCCAGTCCTGTTGAAAGATAAAGGTGAGCAAAGTTCTGTATGGAAGAGCTTGGAGGGGACTTCTGGTCTGTCTTGGATCCCATCTCTGCATTCTATTCCTTTAAAAGGAAATGTCAGCATTTCCAAGCAGTGTCCATGAACTCTAGCCTGTGAGGGTGAGTCAGGACAGGCCTCAGCAGGCCAATCTTCTGCAATGTAAACTCCCAGCAGGCTCCAGTTTCCTCTGGAAAACCACTCCTAATCTTGCAGAAATGCTTGTATTCCTCATTCTGCTTCAGTTCAGACTGCTGTTGTTTGAGGAACTTTAGTCTCTAGCATCCTAGATACTCTGTTTCATATTCACAGGTGGTTTTGTTTTTGCAAAATGCCACGGAAGTGTGCTTTTCACTTTTTTTCCCTCCGAGATTTTATGGACTCTCAGACCACTCGGTCTCCACCCTCTATGCTTTCTGCCCAGCTTTTTTTCCCCCAGATATTTTATGCCCTGCCACTGGCAGAATCATCAGAAGCACATCATTAATCGTAGCCACTGTGACAGCTTGCCCAGGAACCGCCAAGGCCAGCCTTGAGCGCTGACTCCCAGCGCTGCTTCTTCCTCAGCTTTAAGTTCCATGATGTCATAGCATTGTGCCCTGGCAGGTGGCCAATACCTTAACTGGTGATTCTCAGCTCTCTAAGTTTTTAAATGCTTTGGGCGGGTGGGGGGGGGGGGGAGCCGGGAGCTTTGTACTTTTCCAGCACAGAAAAAGGGTGCTAGTGGCTAATGGAAGGTTCCAGTAACCAGTAATGTTAAAGTTCACTTGTTTCAACGGTTGTGATAATTGAATGATGTTCTGTAATGTTCTTCCTATAATAGGATTCAAAAAAATTCCTCCTTAGGGGAAAATTTGGAAGCAGAAAATACAAAGGGAAGGGTCAGCTCAGGTAAGGTCTGCAGTAATTTTTTTGCAGCTTGAAGATTGTGGAATTGCATGGGCGTATCTGCACTTAGTTTAATAAATGAATGCCTGTAAGTTTCATATAAATGAAATTTGTAAGAATTTAAATCATTATAAGTGCACAACACTGCCTTATTAGGGCAGCCTGGCATGACTCTCTTCATTAAGGGAATTATCTTGATGCAAGACACAGCATGGTCCCAAACACAGGCATTGATCTTTGTTGTAAGTGTGAGTTTTGCACAGGCTGATTCTCATAAGACGGGGGTGTCTCTTATAATTATCACTAGTCTGAGATCACAGGTATCCTCAGGCTCCGAAGCGGAATTTTTCCAAAGCTTGGTACAGTCCATGGGAGGTTAAACTCAGACAGCCGTTACCCAGAATCCTCCTGTCCTGTCCCCAGAGAGACGCAGGAAATTACTAGTGCGTGAATGATGGGAGAGATGACGGCAGGCACACTGAGGTTAGAAGCATGAGCCCGTGGTCAGATCACTATGGCTCTGTCTCTGTTCCCTAAACGAGTGATTCCCAGAGAACTGGTACCCCTGCTAGTGAATGACAGTGGTGACAGTAGTACCTACCACAGAGTTTTTATAAGGGCTACATGAGGAAAGGCAGGAGGTATGAGGTAAGTACTCGGAAGTGATGGTTATTTTCAACTTGCTAGCTTGGTGAGACGGGCAGTACTGTGACTCCGGGGTAGGGACAGCTAGTGGCCCTGTTCTTGTTAAGGTACCCTAAACTGATGTGGTGAAGGGAGGAGAGCAGCTTACTTTCTTCCAGGCAACAGTGGCTCAGAAGGTAGAAGCCAGATGTCACAAGATTAAACTTGAGAGACGCTTAAGAAGGGTTTAGGCAGCTTACATGGGACTTTTCTCGTTCTTTCCCCCTTGTTCCTGCTTCCTGCTTCCTGTCTGGAGTGCCATTTGGATGCCTAAATTTCTGGCCCCAACTCATAACGCCCAAAAGAAAGCTGCCAGCTAAAGGTTGTGAAGGAAGGACAGAGGATATTCAGTAGCCTTGGAATGCTTACCTCTGCCTCTGTTCTTACTTGTTTAAATGAAAGAAAAATAAATGGTCACATTTAAGCCTATGTTTATTGCTGGCTGTTGTGAACAACATCTGACCCAACCCCTAACTGGCATCAGTACTGGGTAGTAAGCTCAGGAAGTCTGATCCCCCCCACAAGTGTCCCCACTGCCCCGGGCAATTGGAGCAAGCCAGGGGTCCTAGAAAAACTGGCTGCCCTTGAGGATCTGTCTAAAGTCATAATCTTCTTTGTGTCTGCTTGGCCCCAACAACCAGCACGTAACCTGACTGGCAGCACTCTGTAAGGCGCACTGCTGAGTAAGACCATGAATAAGCCCCTCAGCCATTCTCCTCTGTTTCTCGGGGTGGGGGTGTGGGGGGGTCTTCACTTCTTCCACAGCCTCAGGCTGGCATCAGCATGGAGCCTGGGAAAAATCGAAAGTGCTTTCAGACTCTAGAAGAAAAAAAAAATAAACTGGAGATGACAGATTAAGATGGAAAGAGAGATCTTGTGCATTGAGCTGCATCTTTAAGAGTATGTTTTCGGTCGTGTCAGGGTGGCCGGGTGGTCTAAGGCACCAGGCTCAAGCTCAGCTTCGGCGGAAGAGTATGTTTTTGGTGGTCAAGTGCAGGTGTGGTGTTTGAAGGAGATGATACATTATTAAACGGTCTCCCATCCAAGTACTAACCAGGCCCAACCCCGCTTAGTTCTGAGATCAGATGAGATCGGGCACATTCAGGGTGGTATGGCCGTAGACAACATTATTAAATGGAAGTGGCGATCTTAAGTCCCTTTTATGAAAACATTGTTTACTGGCTGGAAAAATAACAAACGTAACTTTGAAACTAGTTGAAGCAGTTTATAAAGATTAACTATTGAGAATCTTTTTCCAGAAGAACATAGTACACAGACTTTTCAGCCTCCTGAACTACAACAAGCATGTTCAATATGTAAGGCTATCCAAATGGCCTCCTGCAGTACATACTTATAACCTTTGCAACTCTTGGTTTTTCTCCCTCCATCTTGGACATTTCCCCAAATCTGTGGCTATCCATGACTCTGGTTCTATTCAGGGTGGCAGCACGATGATTATTCCAATATCCTTCCCTTGAACACAAAGTCTGTTTGGATGTAGCCTTGACTTCACTCTGGTGCTCACCACTAACAGAGAATGAACTGAGTGCTCAGGTCATCAGGGTGGCTGGAAAACATCCAGCTGTGGAAAGAAAAATATCCTAGGACCAGTGCTTTGTGGCTACAGAGCTTAGCTTCAGGAACAAACATCTAAGCATAGGATGGTAGCTGCGCTTCCAGACACTCGTAACCAGGGAAGGGACACAGTGGAGAGATCACCCAAAGAGGAGGTTTTTTTTTCAATCGACTCTCACTTACAGCATGGCAGCCTATGGGATGCGGGGCAGTCATCCCTTCTGGATCCAGGTTCCAGGTCCTAAGGAGGAAGTGGTCCAAACCAAGCCCTGTGAGTGTGATCTATACCCTGGTTAGCTTCGGCTGTGGCTGAGGAGATGAAGGGCATGAGCCATACTCCCACCACAGTCAAGCATGCTCCCAAACATCATAAATCATTTGGCCAGTTGCTCTAACCACAGATCCCCTAATAAATGCCGAGAGCGGCTGCTCCAAGGTTGAGTATCTAACTGGGTTCAAGCAAGACACTCCGATGCTGAGTTAATCATCAAGCAGGGATTTGAAAGAGGGAAGAGGTCCAGGGACCAGAGGCCAGAGTCCAGCTGGCCCAGGTGCACAGACCTGTGACAGAGGTGCAGGCTAAGATGAGGGATTGAAAGGGTAGAGAAAAGGGAGTCAATCAACAGGGCTAGGTGGTAAAGGAAGGAGGGTCCAGGGAAGAATATAACAAACATGGGGAATAGAGCTGGTGAACAAGTAGGAGCAGAAGTGGTAGGGAACTCTGGAAGCCTCTTACGTATGTGTGTCCAGATGTTTATATATGAGCACACACAGGTGTAGAGATCACATAGCAGTATCAAATGTCTTCCCCAACTATTTTCTATCTTGTGTTTTCAAGCAGACTCTCTCATTGGCCTGGGACTCACAGATTGATTAGGGTTAGACTGACTAGGTCCGGTCTCTACCTCCTAATGCTGGTTTGACAAGTCGATGCCATCATACCCAGACTGAATGCAAGTGCTGTGGGTTGAACTCAGGCCTTCATGCCTGTGTGGCAAGAATTTTACTGTCTGAGCTATCTCCCCAGGCCCATGAAGCTGCTTTGAAGAGCCTGACTTGGTTAGATTAGCAATAGGGAGTGCCTTGCCTTAGGTGGAGACATCCCTGAGGCCGGTCAGAGAGGCCACAAGTGCTCTCGCTGGGACTTGTTTGCCAGAAAGCAGCTTACAAGGAACCTCTCAAGCTACTCCTGTCCATGCATGTTGGTGCTAGGCACCTGGGAGTATCCAGTCCCAGTGTTAGTGATTTGTTGGCACCATGATTCGGGATTTTCTAGCTGACCCCTTGGCTCAAGGAGAATTTCTCCACACCAAGATGGCAGAAACACTGGGCTTTCCTTTTCATGCTGAAGAAACAATGTTGAGTTATCTGACTAGCTGTGATGGGGCTCCATGGGGTATCTCAATAAAGGGATATTATGAAATTGTGGAGCCTGGGTTATAGCTCAGTTATAGAGTGCTTGTGTAACATGCACAAGACTCTAGGTTTAAACCCAACACTGTGAAAAAATATCACTATAGTGTTTGGGTGATAGGGAGGGTTCAAGGAAACAGAGTGTTGTGCATTGGATGCTATCAGGAATAGGGATAATTATATGATTACATATCTTTAATAATTCCTACCAAGGAAATAGGAGGAATGAGGTAAAACTAAAGCTATAATTAGTAAAGAAACAGAAGTCACCCTGATTAGCCAGGAAGGGGCATTGTTGGTCACTTTTGTGGTTTGGACTGTGCTCTTATTTTTTATCTGGGTTCAGACATGATTATAGAGTAATCTTATTTGTTTTGTGTGTTTTGTTTCTGCTCCACTGTGGTCAGAGTGGCCTTGTCTGCTGTTGATACTCCATGCTCACAGGAGCATGGCGTGGGTACCAGGCAGGGGGTAGACTCTCCAGGCTTTCTCTTCCTTGGGAGAAAACAGACACTTTTATCTACAGGCAACCAGGAGCCCTTGGGAGAGAGAATCTGAGGGCCCACAGCATGCAGACCCAAGCAGAAACTCCACTTGAAGGTCGAGAATGGGCTGAGGAAATCCAGGTGCCCTGGTTCATGGCTGCCTCCCATCTATTCTCTACTTGGCAAGCACCGTGGCTGAGTAACACACTCAGGCTCTTGAGAGAGCACACACATTAGTGAGAGACTCACTGCAGGTAGGACAATGAGGCACTTGGTCCCAGGCGGTGCTGAATGCTTCGTAGCAAACATGTAACTGGTAGCGCACAGTTAAACGCTCAGTGAAGAGCTGAGGCAAGGTGCCTCGCGATTCCACAGTGTTTCAAGAAGGGACGTTGGAAGTGCTCACATCACCAGCAACAGGAAGAGGCAAGTCTGTGGCCCATGGGTGAGGAGGAGACAAGGGCAGAGGCAGGCTGGGCCAAGGACATTTGAGGTCTGTTCCTTGTGTCCTGAAGTCACCGGAACCCTTTAGCAAGGAGAACCAGCAGGGTAGCCTCTCCTTGTGAGGCAGAGTCTGGCTTGTCCCTGACATATTGAAGCCAGGCCTGGGACTCTGAATTTCTCCTTGATGGTGGATGTCATGGTTTGGGTAGAGGTAATCTTTTCCCATTACTGCTGAGACTAATTGGCATAGATCCTTGCTCCAAACAACACAAATTTGACTAGTTCTGGGGGTGGAAGCCCTGACATCAAAGGGAGGCTCTTTTCCTTCCAGAGACTGTAGAAAAGCACCTATATTCATAACCTCCCTAGCTTCTGGAGACCACATAACCACCTTCTTTAGCCTGTGGACCCTTCCTCTGTCTTCATAGATGACAGTATAAAAACACTGGCTCTCTCTCTCTCTCTCTCTCTCTCTCTCTCTGTGCATACTTCTACTATCATCTCTCATTCTCAGACTCTGGCCTGTCTCCCTCTTGTAAGATCCCCTGTGATTATCCTGGGTTGACCCAGATAACATTGAGTAATCTCCCCATCTCCACGTTCTTAATTTAATAGCATTGTCAAAGCCCCACGGCCACCCACAGTAACACACCCATAGGTTTGAAAACTAGGTCTGGGGCATCTTTGGAGAACAATTAGTCCCTCTACTAGTGGTGGTCAAACAGAGCCAGAGATCTGAAATTTATCACAGACTGGTCAGCTGGCTAAATGTGTCATTAGCCACCAAGGTTCGCTTACTTACCTACACAAGCAAAACGAATACTCTTCTCATTAACCAGGGGGCGTTATTGCAATCATCCCACGACTTGATGTAGCACCCTTAGAGTAACAAGAAGTGCTGTCAAATAGAAAGCACAGTCTAATGTATTATAAAACCTGTAACATACGGGTTTCAAATGGTTCTATCTAGCAATACAAAAGTTCTAAAACCAGATGAGCCGAGTTTGAGCCCTCTTTTTCAAAATACCTCCTTGTAGAAAACCTTTG